TGAGGAGTAGGGAAAATGGTGAGTACATGAAAATACTAGTAGGTCACGAAAAATCATGGTGCAATCCCAAGTAAAAATATTTAAATGCATGTGTCAAAAATATCATATCGTCATCATATCTTTAAAAATCGATAAAAGCTCAATTAACATCATATATTTGGTATCGGATGTCCATAACATACATATCATATCTTTGAACTTTCATAAGCATAATAATTCAACAACATGAAATAAATAATTTAAACGGGATAAAAGCAACCACACCGCGTTACCCTACCTCATTGGATCAAACTATTTTTTGAAGAAACAAAACGAAAATCACGTTCTTAACTTTATTTTTAGCCTACTAACATGTTTATAAAATTATATTTTATGGTGAAAGAAATCTAACTTATACTATGGAGAAATTGGTTGTATAAATACATAAACATAGGACAAGTGTCTCATAGAAAACGGAAATTCAATTTATCCAAAATTTCTATCCAATTCAAACAAAACTATCCATTTGAATCCAATCTCAAGAACCCCACGTGGCTACAACTTCCACAAAACCAACAAAATAAATCAAAATAATATTTATTGACAACTTCTTTAAACTTTAATAAATTAGGTTTCGCTTATCCGAATTAATTTTTTCTCGAACTTAATATACACGATTAATTATGACCTATCCAACGAGCCCCATATTAATATACTAAATATCGCTATAAGAAAATATAATGATTTGGTCTGAATAAAATTGAGTTTAATATATTGCACTTTAGCCCCCTCAATTTTCAAAATATAAAAATATATCATATATTACAAATAAAATTTTCTATAAATTTTCGGGGCATTACAATAGCGGGTAGAAATAGAGAATTCACTATAATCAATAGTAAATAAATACAAGAAGATATCGTAAAACTCTTAACCTATCTCAAAATATGCAATGATCTCTCTATAATCTAGATCCTCTCACTTTGATGTCCTCTCGATGCTATACAATGTTTTGCTATGTTATCTCAAGGCTATATCACATCGAGTTTATATAGGAACTTGTTACAAGTGTTTTGGATGAAGTAGAATACAAGAATTTCAATCAAATCGTAATATGAGACTTTTCTCCCGAATAGGTGGCACCTAGATTCTTCCAAATGGGAGCCAAGGTTTCGCGACTCGGCGCCTGGGCGCCATCTCTCTAGTTCAAAACCTCCAAAGTCATTTTTCATCCATTTTAAAGTCCTTTTCCAATCAAAATTCCATTTCTTAATGAATTTTGAACTCTTTTGAAATTGAACTTCCAAATCAAGAAGACTTTTGTTCATTTTATCAATTAACCAACCCAAATCATAATCGAAATAGAAATTTAGGTTATACTGCAACAGTCTCCATCTTGGCCTAAATTTTAATGCAAGGAATTATTCTTCAAGCAATTCTCTTAATAGAGTGCTCCAATTACAAAACTCTACCACTTCCACCATGTTCCTCTAGTCATATGCAGCAACTGGGAAAAAAATTAATCCCTACTTATAAGCTGAACTACATTAGGTCCCAAACCAGCTTAAATCATTATGTTTACTATTAACTCCAACTAAGTTACAAGACGTGCTCATTATTCCCCACAAGTAACTCAATTACTACCAGCTCCATTGAAGCCAACGCTTATCAAACCATAAGCAACCATATCTGTCTCGTTGAACCTCTCTTGTGGTTTAACAACTCATCTGGTTCATAGCTTCATCAACGTAAAATCATAAAAGGAGATTTTTCTCCCAAACAGGTATGAGCTCCTTGCCTCCATT